TGCTGTTGTTGTTGTTGTTGCTGCTGTTGTTGCTGCTGTTGTTGTTGTTGTTGTTGTTCCTGTTGCTGCTGCTGTTGTTGCTGTTGTTGTTGTTGTTGATGTTGTTGTTGCTGTTGTTGTTGTGTTGTAGTTCATGGTGGTTCTGCAATGCATTCCTCTTCATTAATGCTAGGGAAATCATAAAAAGGTAATATTTCTTATACCTGACAAACCTACCCTTGCCCATAATTTATAACTCTTCATGGTTTTCATTGTTGGTTACTCTGTTGACACCATTTTCCATTCAACCAACTACATGCAAATCCTACAAAGAACATTAAACAATTTCTTCTTTTGTTCCTTATTCATCGTCCGTGCATACAAAAAAATAAGGTCACATCTTTTAGTCACGTAGCATCTAAGTGCACGACTGTTTACCATAAGTACTGTATGCTTAAAAAATAACATGTCATGGAGACACTGTGTTTTGTTTGCCAGTGAATAATGTGTGAGCATAATTTTAGTTGCTTTTATACCTTTCATTTGTCTTGCTTACACTGTTGAAAGCGAGGACTCGAGAGCTGCACGGAACGTAAGGACTTATGAAACACAATTAAGAGTGCCAACGGGAGCTTCTGGATTTGCATAATTATTATCATTACTCTCTCATTTGGTGGGTGGGGTGGGCTTCTAGTTAGCAAGGGAAGGAATGTGCACGTTTTGTACGTGGGAATAAAGATAAGATGAATAAGATGAAAAAAGATTGGAGTTCTCTTCTTCTTATTTGTGCCCCCCTCCCCACCCCCGCTAGATCTCAGGGGTAGTTGAGTGCTGGTTCTTTAACCTGCAGTGCAACTGGGATTGTTGTTTTTTTCGTAAATAAATTACAGTTATTCCTACTTCATATTCATAGGGCCCTTTGCCTCTTGGCAGCGACATTCCGATTTCGAAGGTACTCTCTCTGTTTTTGTACTGACTAGAATATTTTCAGTTTTGGTAAGAATTAATTTCGAATTTGGCTTGGGTGGCGGCCGAAGCCTACTTCTATCGATGTTACGACCACCAAGGGATCTTTAGCGTGCGCAACTTGAAAACGGAACCTTCAAGATTTTTCGCCCTTTTCCGAGAAGCCTATGAGTCCAATCTTACCAATCTTAAGATCAGGGGTGTGGCTGAAAGAGACTGAAGTTTGATAAGATACTTTAACATTTGTTGTGTTTTTTTTATTTAAAGAAAATTACCCTGTGCTGCAACACAGATAGTGAGTTTTATACTTTATACATAGCACAACACACACACACACACACACACACACACACACACACACACACACACACACTCACATACACACACATACACATACACGCATACACACACATACAGACATAACTGTCAGACACACAATTTTTGCTCTATATTACGCGTAAGTCCTTGAGATCCAAAAGAATCAGTAGGCCTATCATGTAAACGAAAATGAGTGAATTTCCAGCGGCATCAAAAGCACAGTGAGAAATTCATCCCCGAAACAATAATTACGAACAACAACAGCTTCGGCATTGTTAGAGGACAAATCGTCGCCGTTATTCATCAATGTCGTATGGGTATGTCAAAATACGAAGTTTTCAGGAGAAAAAACAACTGTTTAATTTCGGACAGGACACTGCCTTAAAACAAAATGCTTACTTCGTCTAAATCAGTTACTTTTAAAAAGAGAAATGAGTCTAGAATCAACCGATGTGCCTCTGCTAACTCAACAACACTGTACTTGATTTTCATTTTCTTTTTAAAAAAATTGACATTCTGCATATGTTGAGTTTCGGCGACGATTTATTATTTCGTTTCCCTCATAGAAGACGCGGCAGTGATTGGAAACATCGAGGCATACTCATAGATAGAGAAATCAGTTTTCAAAGATGTACATGGAACAGGGAAAGGGTCCACAAGTGACTCAAAGTCAAATCAAAGATGTAAGATAAAAGCTAGGAAAAATGAAGAGTGGGATTGGGTGGGGG